AGGCCTTGCACAGGGGGTTAAAGACTTTGTGGGCCCCAGAAACCGCAGGGCTGTTTTTTCACCGTTTCCAAAAAATGGTCCCTTGAAAATGGAAACTGGAAAAAAAAACGGCAACCGGAAACGGGAAAAAAACGGCTCCAGGATTGGAGCCGGAGCCGGAACCGGTCCAAAAACGGCGACGGAACCGGTAAAACAACTGCGTCGGAACCGATAAAAAAACGGCAAAACGGAACCGGTGAAAAAACGGCCCTGTCGTTTCCAGGGCCCGCTAAGGTGCAATTGCTGCAACAGGTTCGCGTTCCAGGGCCAGGAATCGGAGCGCGTCAAGTTTTGCTGAGTGGCTGTTTCTCGCAAGAGTTTAGGCCAGCTCTGAGAATGTGCCTTTGTTGATCATGCCGGCGCGGCTGGCGCTCATTGAATATCAGAGAATTCCAGAGAAGTCTGGGAGCGAATATCTTGCGCGCCGCCCCGGTTTCTGGTTCTGGGCGCTCTGAGAATTTGCCTTCGGGTGTCCCAGGTGGAGGCGCCCGATTGGCTGGCTCCTCGCTCCATGTTTTCGTCCGAGGCCCGAAAACCATCACGTCACTGATTTTGGGCCCCAGGGCCCACTGAGGCCCCAGGGTCCCCAGATTAGTGAAGTGATGTTTTTTTCCCACGTAAGGACCCGAAATTCATCACTTCACTAAACCGAACCCAGGACGAAAGTCAGGGGCCGGATTGCTGCTGTGATGTAACATAGGCCCATGTTTTCGGAGTGGTGAGCTCGGTTCCCAGGCCGGCGGCGCCCGCGGGCCACCCGCTGGGCTGCCGCCCGAGCGGGCCCCTAGTGGCACGCCCATGCGCACGAGTGGCCACAGGTGGCCAAATGTGTCGCAGCGTTCATCTCCGCCACGGCGCTTCTCTTGCTTCCTGAGGTGGAATGCCCCCACAGCGTGGCAGACCGTTTCGGCGGGCGCTCCCCGTGGCCTAAAAAGACCGTGCACGATCTGCATCCCGGACATCTTGTGTACCCTGCTGTGCTTCGTCTGAGGATAGGCTCGGGGGCACGATCGGTTCCTACTCGCCCACTCATCGCCCATATGGGCCAGATTGCCCACCGCCCCGGAGAGTGCGGATTCGCTAACGGGGGCCCATCGCCGAGATATCGGCGATGCATCGCCAATTTCGGGTCGATGTTCCACCCATCCTGAGCAGGTCCTCTAATCGTTTCCCCTCGGTGGGTCTGAGCGGCCGCCCTTCTCCAGCGGGGGGGCGCGCGATGACGCGGAGAGGATCGCGCACCGCGGGGCGCGATGCGCGAAGCTTGGTGATTTGGTTTTGGTTCGGGCTCTCGGGGTCCTCACCAGGACCGTCAAAAACAAGTTGGGATGATCGGCGGAAAAGTGCCTCGGGGGATGGCCCTGGGGTGCTCGCGGGCGCGCGCACGTTATGCACGTCTCCGCGCGCGGTGGCGTGCTGTCTGGGCGGGTGGCTGTTCGGATTCGGTCAGAACGGGGCAGGGGAAAGGACGGGAGGCGAGCGATCAGAGAAGACAAGGACTAGGAAGAGGAGAGCGAATATTCAAGGAGAGAGCGTTGGCAAAAGAGGAGAGAACGCGGCAGATAATCACTCCCCCAGTGGTCGCGGACCTCGCCGGCGGGTGATGGGCTTTGTGTTTTCGTGCCAGAATGCGTCCCACGCGACGACGGCGAGGTTGCAATAGTCTACGAGAGCGCATGGGAGAGGATTTTGCCTCACTAGAGAGTGGGCGCACTTCGACTCGCGAAGGCCTTCTCAGACGGTGGATTTCTTGAGCTTCAACTAGTGAGCCTTCGGCTTGGAATCTATATGTACTGCGAACAAAAATCGAGGATGCCAACGCAGATCCGCTTGATGACTCGCTCGACTCAGAACCGGTGCGAAGTAACGCGCGACCCTATGACGCCAAAGCGCCGCGCGTAGTCGGACTTTGACCGCCGCCTCTTGCTGCCGTTCGGTGTACAATGTTGAACAATATGGCCAGAAGAAAGGCCTTCCTGCGCCTTGGGGCGTTGATGTTCGATGATTTGTAGAGAGGTCACGAGTTATTGCGTGGGTTAAGGGGTAACGGAGAATATGCACATGTACGCTGTGATGCTCACACTAACGTGGGCTTTGGAGTTTTCATGTAGGCAGCATTCACCCATGCTCGCTCTCCGTCCTCCGCTCGCGAGGTGGCTGAGAAGGAGGAGGGGATGATAATGTTCGTCCCTGTTCAAAGAGGAGCAGGAGATGGAAGAGTTGTAACAGAGGTGGAGGCGGAGGCACTCCAAATTTCTTCATGTGTCCATACTGCATACTTGTTTCCGGGGTCGGCCTTCATTTGTTTCAGGCCCGTCCTATCTTTATTAGGACAGCCCAGGACACGAAATCAAGCACCCAGTACCTAACATGATTATGCACGAAGCGTGCTGATGAGATCGAAGACGCATACGGCGAATCACCGCCGCGCCCTGCCTTCTGAAATTGTGGCAAGAACACTGCCAGGCTATCGGACCATGCGTTCCCCCAACCGTTGTGGAAACCCTTCGGGGAACGTTTGGGGGGGGGATGGCAGGGAAGATCAGGACGAGGAGGAGGAGGACTCGACTTTTCCGTGCTTGAGCCATGCTGTTACCGTTCAACATCAATCATCTCTATACTTCTCTTCAACCGTGTATGCATGTATCCAAACCCTCACTCACGGACTCCTGAAATTCAGAGTCCGCTTTCACCCTCACTCACGGACTCCTGAAGTTCAGAGTCCGATTTCACCTGAAGTTCAGAGTATTTTCCTCGTCTTGCTTGCCATCAAGGGATGAGTTAGGGGATGCTTCGACACGTCGCCGACGTTATCCTAAGAGCAGGGATCTCAGCTTACTAGCTCATGGTCAAGCACCTGCTTCTTGCTTTTACATTGGGGGCCACCTTGAGCGTCTTGGAGCGATCGTTCGGCGAACCGGGGCCCTCCTGGGCCGTCTTGGGGGGCATATTGAGGCTCTCTCGGCCCGTATTGGGACCATTTCGGGCCGAGCAAATCGCGCGACAAGTTGCGGCACGCCCGGGGCCCCGCCAAATTCCTGAACGTGGGGGTCGGGCCCTTTGAAAGAATCCTTAGGCTCCGGACGCGCCCACTTCGTGCGCAGAGGCACGGTGGCAGATATATGCAGGAGGAATTTGAATGAGGCCTCGGGGGGCCTCCAGGACTCGTCTCCTCAAATAGTAGGAGGAGCATGAAAGGATGAGGTTTCGGATTCGGACTCCGACTCGGCTCCGCGCGTGTGGTGCCACGAACAAATGAGGAGGGGACGATAAGAAGGAGAGGAGGAGGCATTTCAGGAGAGACAAATCCACCTCCTGAGAAGATACTGGCGCATCGATTTCTCCGTAGCTCCTTCCTTTCCCCCTCACATTGCTGTTACCCTCATCTTGTTGTTTCAATTATGCCAATCTAGTGTTTGATTATTTGTTTTTTTGCAAGTGCAAGTGGCGAATCCGATTAATCGGGATCTCCCCGGCAACGTGATGCTGCATGCTGCATGTACAAGTGGTTGATTATTCCGCGGTGCTTTGTAGTCGTGAGGCAGGCCTACTGCGAGTAGCTTAGCCTACGCAGCGAAGGGGATATGTCAGAGGGTTGTTCAGGCGACCGCCAGGAAGAGGAGCCCAGGGAGATGTCCATTTTGGTGCGACGTCAGCACTCAACTTACGTCTGGTGCAGTAGTTCTGCGCTTGGCAGCAAGCAGTGAGGAGACCACGAGAGAGAGAGACGGGGAGAGGAAGGGAGAGGAGAGGAGGCAGGATGAGCAGGTGGAAAAGGAAGCGGGCAGCAATTATTAGATCCAACGAGATCAGCGAGGACCCCCAAAAGTAAGGTTGTGAAGGCAACGCCAAGTCATGTCACGCACTGCAAAACAATGCGCAGCAAAGCAGGCAACATAGGGCAATGCAAAACATTGCGTAGGATACGACTGGTGGCATGCGTCAGGACTGCTGCATGCGCTCTCTCTCGCCGGCGTGTTCCGTATAAGGTTAATAATAATAATAATACTAATACTACTAATGATAATAATAATAATAATAGTAAACGTAGTAGTAAGAATAATACTAGTAGTAATCATAAAAACAAAAGACAAAAACAGAAACAAACAAACACAAACAAACATCATCAACAAATACTTTTGGACTTCGCGTCATCTCCCCCGCCCCCTCTGGCTGCTCAGCCAGGGGTTGGCATCTGCCGGGCACATCATTGGCCACTGGACCCGCCCGGCTGGCTGTGAGCTAGCGGAGACCCCCCCAGGCCTCCAAGATGGAGGAGGCCGAATCCAGAGCTGCAGCGCTTCTGAATTGGGGGGGTCCCTGGAGGCGAGGCTGATGCCGCCATGGGCAGAGTCGTGCCGCCAGAGCTGGAGGAGACTCCGGCCCGGGAGGCGCGGCACCGTGGAGGCAGCGAGCGGGAGGCCTTGCGGGAGGCCGTGCAGGCTGAGGAGGGCGCGTTCGTCAAGGCGGAGTGCTATGACGACGATTTGGGGGCCCAGGGGCACGAGATTTTGAAGGTCAAGAACGTGGCCGACGGTTCGCTGGCTCAGGGCGAGCTCTATCTTGAGGCGGCCGTGTGCGGGTACAGCGACGAGTACTACGAGTACTGGGCCCAGCAGAAGGGGTTGTCTGGAGTCGTCTACCCCGTGTGCCGGACGGACCGCCAGAACTGCAGGTGCGGGTACAAGAAGCGCAGCTACCTCACGATCCACATGTACGACTTCCAGGTACTGGATCCTTACGCTGTCGGCGCCTACGAGTGGGCGAGTGAAGGCGCACGGGTGGCCATAAGGCGCGCGCTAGAGGCGCTCGAAACCGAGTACCAGGAGAAGGAGGAGGAGGAGGAGGAGGAGGAGGAGAACGGGGACAGAGAGGTGGAGAAGGAGAAGCAGAGGGAGAGGGAGAAGGAGCCTCGGTCGAGAGCCCCGGCAGGGGGCGCCCCTTCCCCACCCCTGGGGGATATGGTCCACCTCAGGGGTTGGGCCGTGCCCGGCCAGGTGGTGATGCTCTGGGCAGGCCGGGTGGGAGGGGCCGGTCGTCGGGGCGCACGGGGAAGCAGCTTCGAGGTCTCGGCCCCAATTCGCTGGACATCCGATGGGACGGCAGGGGCGGCGAGCGCGAGCGCTCGCGAGACCGGAGGGGACGGAAGCGCGGCGCAGACTGCCCTGGAGGCCGAGATCGAGGCTGAGGTCCTGGGCCGGAGCAGCCAGACGACCACCACAGAATGGGGGGGCTTTGCTGCTATCGCGTCGCCCCTTGCCGCCCTGCCTGAGGGAGACCGTCGCGAGGATATCGACAGGGAGCTCATGCGTCGAGCGGAGGCGGCCGAGGCCCAGCTCGGGCCGGGCGAAAGGGGGGGATTGGGAAAGGGGGGGGTACGAAATTTGCTGCATGCAGCTGGTTTCGGCCTCATCGAGGGGCCCATTCCTCGATACATAGTCGCCTCCGGCGCCCGGAGGCGCCGGGAAAATCAGCTACGTGAGCTGATTCTCAAACCCCCCCTTTGCTATCCCCCCCTTTCGCCCGACCCGAGTCGAGCGGAGGCGGCCGAAGCCCAGCGGACAAGAGGGCGAAGGCCGCGGACAGCTTGGGCGAGAGAGTCCGGGCTCGACAGGCAGGCTCTCGGCCTGCTGGCCGCCGCGGGGCCGACCTGCTGGAGGGCCGCGTGCGCAGTAGTCAGGAGGGAAAGAAACACGCAGACACAATGAATCGTCGGCTCCCAGGAAAATATGGGAAAATATGGGAAGTGGGGGGGAAGACAGAAACACAGAAGATATGGGGAAATATAGGGAATCTGGTTATTTGTGTCTATTTATTTGTGTGTCCCAGTTTCCCTTCAAGTAGGTCGAGGTGGAGGCGGTCCCCTTCGAGGTCTCGGCGGGCGGTCGAGGTCGTCCAGCCGGAGTTCGAGCCGGCGGACTTTTCGCGGAGGCTTCGGATCGCGTGCGCCTTCGGTCGGGGAGGTGACGGGGAGGCTCCCGGGGGAGCTCCTCGGAGCCAGCTTGGTCGAAGTGGCCAAGTGCCTGTCCAGGCGGTCCCGGGCCGGGATCAGTTGGGCGGATGGCCAGGTGCTCGCCCACCTCAACCAGGCCGTCTTCGCCAACAAGACCCCGGAGAAGATGGGGCATCGGGCCGGGCGAAAGGGTGGGGTTGGGAAAGAGGGGGTTACGAAATCTGCTGCATGCAGTTGGTTCGGGCCCCACCGAGGGGCCCCTTCCTCGATACATATCCGCCTCTGGCGCCGGGAGGCGCCAGGAAAATCAGCTACGCGAGCTGATTCTCAAACCCCCGTTTATCCCCCCCTTTCGCCCGGCCCGAGGGGAGCGGTGGCGGAGCTCCTGGATGCGCTCCTCAAGGGCGATCTGGCTCGGGTGGGGGACCTGGCCATGCAGCGTTTCCAGGCCGTCGGGCTGGCGGTGGTCCGAGGCTCTTGGGTTCGACGTTGGCCAACGCGCAGGTCAAGGAATTGGCCATGAAAAGGGAGCTCCGGTCCGAGAAGATGCGGGACGCCCTCGAGCGGGCCCACGCTGGGGAATAGGGACTGGGCGGGGACCTGGCGAGCGATCGTCGCGACCGGGTCCTGAGGCCACCCCAGCAGGAAGGGCCCCGAAGGAGCCGCAGCCGATCGGTGGGCAAGGGTTCCGTCGATCTGCGGCCGGCTCAGAGCTCGGAGGGTCCACTTTGTGGCGAGCTCGAAAAAAGGAAAAGAGTCTGCAGGAGCATGCCGAATTGCCGCGGGCGGGGAGGGATCCGAGGAGGCTCCCAAGTGGGGGTGCTTCACGGGAGGCCGGACCTTTACACAGCCGATGGATATGGATCCTTACGAAGAAGGCCCTTCGTGGGCAGCGAACCCAAAGAAGCCATTCTCCCGTTGGCTGCCGAATCGGAAGGCCAAGAAACAGCAGCTAGCGGCAGCCAAGGCGAGAGCCAAGGCAGACCCGACCCCGCGGCGAGGGACGGCCAACGGCTCCGGGAAGGCATCTCGGGATTCCGGAAAAGGTGCCAAGAGGTGAGCGGGGCCGGCTTGACGGCGGCCTCGCTGGGAGTGGAACTGTTCCACCTTCAGGTTCAGTCTGACACACGGCTGGGCCAGGCGTTTGCGATTCCTACTCTCACCACTCTGCGGGAGGCCGCCCTCGCGGCAGAGGGGCGCCCCCCGCTGCCCCCGCCGGCCGACGACTTTCTCATCCTCCAGGGACAGATCCTCGTGCCCGTCTGCGCGGAGTACCGGGACAGGGATGCGCCAGAGAACGTCGCTACCCGCGAGCGCGGGATCGCCGCGTGGGCGCTGCTCACGGCGGTCTCCTTGAATCTCGGGTGGACGGTGAAACTCGCTTTCGGGTTCCGAGCGCGCATGGCCGAGCGAGCGGCCATCGCCAACAGGCTTCGTTTCCGGGTTCCGAGCGCGCATGGCCGAGCGAGCGGCCGTCGCCAACAGGCCGGCGCGCTGGCCCATCTGGAAGCGGCAGCCGTATATGTTGTGGACAACAAGACGGCGGCGGGAGAGATCCCCAGAATTCAAATTTGGGATTCGGCCTGAAAGTTGAAGACCAAACGTGTAAACTACACAGGCGAGATCTTGGAGGTCGCGCGCCAGCTTGCGCTGGACCAGGCACGGCCTGGCCTGCCTCTGCCAGGCAAGGGCGGCTCGCTCAGACTCGCTGACTGGTGCCAGGGCGACGCGCGGGTCTTCTATGGTGACGGAGGAGTATTTGTTTTGGTCCTTTTTGCCCTCTCTCCTTCCCTCCTTCCCTCTCTCCCCCGCTTCCTACCTGCCCGTGTTTTCTCGTCGTTGCCTGCATGGCGACTGTGTGCCCCTTCGTGATTCGACGCGGCATGCCGGCCTTTGGGGACCGAGTTTGGCTGCTTTCTTCCGGAGATTGCATGATGGCCGCACTCGCGCGCATGTTCGTACGTCAATTTCTATTGGCTCGGATTGGGCTCGGAGGGCGTTTGCTTCCTTCTGGCGACGGCGGGGAGCGCGCGCGCGCGCTCGTTATGTTGCAGTTATTCGTGTTTACTTGCATGTAAGCGGGACATGGTTCGGACATGGTGTCCGATTGTCGTGGGCTATATTCTTCTGGTGATGGAAGGACTTGATTCGTCTGGTGATGGAAGGATCCTGCTGTTTTGTACTTGCTTCGTTTGTTTGTTTCTTCTGTGTGATGGGCCCTCCTGCGTTTGCCTTCGCGTCGCCGTGCTTTGTCGCGAATGTGACCACGACCGCTCCGACGGCTGAATGGTGGGTATCGTGCTTCTTGTTTGCTTTTGGTATGTTGTGATAGTCCGGAGTGCGATGTCGTCGTGCCCCCGCAGCGTATACGAGCGAAAGTCCATTGAGCACATGAGCAGCAATTCCGGCGACGTCGCGTCGCCATTGCATCATTTGTTTGCTGTGGCCGCAAGACATCCCGCAGTTGTTGCAGCTCGCGGATGTAGCATCCATCGAGTTGTTTCGGGTTATCGGTTTGGTCGCGCCTGCTCCGAATCCCAATACCCACTGCAAACTTCATACTACATGCGCACATTTGTTCTTGCATTCTCCTGTTTTCCTGCAGGCTGTACTTGTCAAGCTCTCATCATGGATTCGCGGAATCCGTCTGCCCCGCGCCCCCCAGCATGCCGGGGGGGACTCGGCCGCGGCATTCGCATGCCAACTTATTCGTTTCCTCCAGCGTCAGCTCCGACAGCGCCGCCGGCACTCAGACCTGGAGCGACGCGCATCTTCGAGGGCCAGGTGCCAGGTCGTGGACCTGAGAGATGCGTGCGAGGATGGCCACGGCCGGTTCTTGCCTCTTCACCAGGATGACCCTTTCACATTTGAGGTCGCGGTTACTGCCGGCGACAATGTCGGCGCGAAGGATCTCGCGAAGAAAAAAAGTCGCGCCCGTCTTCGCCAAAGCCAGCAAGGATTGGAAGAAGACGTTGGACATGGCAGAGGAGGTTTCACAGCTCATACCCACGGCTGCATCTGATGAGGGTTGGGGCCACTTTATCGCAGGTGTGAAAGCAGCCCACCAGAAGCTCGACATTCCGATGGGCGGGCCCGCGGCCTCGTTCCTGGACCGCGGCGCGATCGCCGCCGTGCGTCGTCGTCTCCTGCATCAGGTGCGCAGCCGGCAGTCCGCAGGCATTTGTTCGAGACAGGCTACGATGCCAATAGTGTCTGGGAGGCGGAGCTGGCGCGGCAGTCGCTTCCCGAGGATTTGATTGGTCTCGAGGTGCAGGACAGCGACCTTGATCGCAAAGGATGGGTTGCCGGTCTCGCTACGAACCCGGACGCAGTCTTCTCAGTCCATTGGGGGGGCGAAAATGAAGCGCTTTTCTTTGCGATGATATTAGCTATCTTAACTTTCTGGGCGCGTCTGCCTGCTTCGACGTCGGCGCGCCCAAGCTTCGCGCCGAGAAGGTCGCGCGCCAGAGCAGAAATCATTTGGCCCTTTGGCTGCTGCTTCGATCGGTTGGAGTCGGATTTGTGCTTCTCGCGAGGACTGATCATCGAAAGGATGGCCGTTCCGCGTTGCCTGGCAACGTTGGCGACTCACTGCTACCAACGGTGCATTCATTTTGCCGCGCTTCGCGCGTCTGGGCCCTAGGGCTAACAGTTGCACTTGTCTCTCATCTCCTTCCCTGCGCCGCCGCTGCCGCCGCTTCTCCGCCCGGAAGTGGCAGCGCGAATGCCGCGGCGAAGCCGGCGATGGCGCGGCCGGCGACGTCGCGGATGCCGCCGCGAGTGCCATTGCCCAGCGCGACTGCGGCTGCCATTCAGTCCGCGCGCGCCCGCGTATAACGTCGAGGCCGGTGAAAGAGATTATCGTGTGAAGTGCAAGGCTTTCCAAGATGTCATGCGAATGTCCTCCTCCGTCCAGCGTCTTGTCTGATCGGCCAGTGCAAGCAGAGCGCCAGGTCGGATGATCAAGCTTGGTTGCCTTCGGCCGTTCACGTTTTGAACCGCATTAGGGCCAGCGCCGATGCGAGGTGGACGGGGGCGTCGAAGTTCCGGTCGCGCCAGAAAATGTTGAATCTGCTTCATCATGCGCGCTCGCCTGTTCATAGCGATCACGCTGTTTCTCGTGCTTCGAGCAATGCGATCTATATTTGGTTTCTGCGAGTCGCAATTTCACGCGCGTGGGAATATCTAATATGTCTTTTCTCGAGCGCACCAACGGGCGCTTGCATGTGCTCTGCTCGCGCGGGCAAGATTCCCAAATCCTCACGCATTGCGAAAGGCGGTCTCTCGGTGTCGGCCCCATCATCCAGATGCCTCTCGTGCGTGCGTCTTCCAGTTCTGATGGGGAGTTAAGGTTCGCGGAGAAACAGTTTGCGAGAGCATTGCGCGCCTGGCTCGCTGCCCCCATCGCCCGCGAGCACGCGAAACAGGGTCGTCGCCAGCAGCGCCGCACTTATGTTGCCATGTGTGTGGGGGGGGTTCTAATAGTCGAAATAAGTTCTTTCAGTCGGCGCCCCGCCGCCTCTTATTCGCGCGCCCATATCTGCGCTGCCGGCGACGCTTATTCCGCGCATGGAACTTCCACGGCTTATTTGCCCCAGTCTACACTGTCCGTTTTGGCGCGTCGTCTGGGGGGGCCGAGGCGCAAGGTTCACGACGACGTGAAATTTCTGAAGTCGTTCATTGATCGCCGGCCTGGGCTCGTTAACATGCTTGTTGAGCGCGTTGGGCGCAATCTCGTCGGCTCCAACTTGCCCA